TACAAGTTTCTTTTCAATTGTTGAAATTATATCACTAACTATCCATGTTTTTGTTTTAAACTTTCAAACTCGCTAATATATCGGGGTGATAACCTTTGGGAGGATTATTCTTAAAATGGTCGTCCATAATGGAAGTTGGTAAAGTCAAACTTATGACCTTCCACACTTTTCAGCCTCACTAAAGAATTACACATCTAACTTAATCAGATGCTTGATGTATTTGGGGAGAGGTTTCTATTGCTCTCATCCTTTTATCGGCTTAATATGAATTGAACTTTCCTCCAAAGGTTTATGCCGATATTTTTCTCAAACTTTCATACTTGCACCTTAGATCTTCCTTCATATGGTTAAGTATAGGTGGGTTATTGGGTGGGTTGCACATAATTACAAACGTGGCTCATGTTATTTTACGTTTTCAATGTTTTTGATACCAACTAAATCAATGCCCTTAAATCGGGTTAAATCCTTAGGGGATGTTATTGTTTGGTGGATTGGGTTGTGGGGTTTTCTTTGATGGCCTCTACATACATGAATGTATAGTAGCTAGAGGTGTTATGGTGAATATTATAACTTGTGCCATCTTGTTTCCTTTACCACTTTTATTACACTTTTGAAGAAAAGTTAAACCCTTAACACTAATGTTTTAAAGTTCCTTAGTTTTACTTTAATAAGAATTATGTGTGTAGTATATAGACTCTAAAGATATCACTTCTTAATTGTACAGCTGAATCCATCATATGCAATAATCTATGAGAAGAACCTCTATGAATTTTTTTTTCCAAAGGTGCATGTCATTTATTTGTTAGTACAAAGATAATTCTTATAGTAATCCTTTCTCATTCCTCTTTCTCCCATTCTTCGATAATATCCACATTTGTCGAAGTATTATTGGAGGTCCTTCATTTTCTTTCCTTAATATATCGGTTTTCCATTCCTAACCTCTAAACTACTGTTTTAAATTCTTAAATCTTAGTCAGATATTCTAAAAAAGTATCATTCATCTAATGATCTTTTTCTCATGGGACCTTCTTCCCTACCTCTAAATTTTTGGATTCTAGACTCCCTAGTTAAGATAGTGCTTTCCACGTCTCATAAATTTCTTTTCTGTCTTCTTTCTCATATATCTTAAAAATATTGATTGCTTACAAGATTGATGAAACCTAGCATATTTAGCCATAATAATAGTCATAACTATGGAAACTTTAGTTGTCTTATCCTAATTCCACACACTACCCCTACACCTTAAAAATAGGAATAAATTTTTCTAAGGTACTCTACAAGTTCTATTATGATCAACGTCATCTACGGCTTCTAACTTCTCATAATCTTCAAGATCTTCATTAGGTTTGATCTCATTACGAGTGCTAACCTTTTGTTTCTATCTTAATGTTTACTACTTTCCTTAAATTTATCCTTCTCACTTGTAACAAGATTCAAACCTAAACCTAACGCTCTGATACCACTAAATGTCACGCTCCAACTTAGGACCTAGTTGACACGCCACAAGTACAACAATGAACATTGTCCATTGTCATACAAGTAAGGCAACTAACATTTCTTCTTTTTTTTTTCTTCTTTCTTCTTTTTTTTATTTATTTCAAATGTCTAAAATTTGAGTCATAATAAAAGTGATTACATCATAAATATCTTGCAACGGAAACTAAATCACTATTAAATCTCTTAGCCATTCCTTCGTCTCTCCGACATAGTGGCAATGTCTGTTATTCTTCCCCAACTTCCTCTAACCGCAATTATCACCACCGTTACTCGAAACATCTATTGGGGGGTCAGTACATGCAAGTTCAAGTACTCATATAAACTTCAAAACATTTCACAAAACATGATCATTTCAAAACCATTACATAGCACCCTTTCATTTTGTGAAACATCGCTTAGTTTTGTAAAACTTTCACTTCATAAATATTCCACTTCACTTACATAACTTTCATATGGCGAAAATAAGACATTCTCATAAATATCTATTTTCACAAAAACATTCACATTGTCAACCTGAGGCATAACTTTTCAAAAATTGAAACATTCAAAATATCAGACATTTCCATAATCATCCGCATTTAGGAAATTGAGACATTCATTGCTTATAAAACATCAGACATCCCCATAAATGCCCACTTTTGTGAAATCGAAACATTCATAAACATCACACATTCTCATAAGCGCTCGCTTTTGTGAAATTGAGACATGGCGATATATTTTATCATGATAACATGTGCACAGTTCTGGATATAAGCCCTCCGAAAATTAGGGACAATTTTAACTTAAGGCTACTCTCGCCTCTCGTTATCATTGGACTTGGACTTTCCAACTTTTTCATCCACTTTTACATTTACTCATAGACTTGGACTTTCCAACTTTTTCATCCACTTATATATTTACTCATGGATTTGAGTTTTGCAGCTTTTTCATCCACTTTCACATTTACTCAGGGATTTGGGCTTTCCAACTTTTTCATTCCCCTTTCGCTTTCATGATCACTACCATAATATCGTACGTGCATATAGTCTCAATTTCAAAAAATTTATTCATAATCATGACCATACTTCAACTTCAAAACATTCTTTATAAAACATTTTCATAAATATAAAACATTTTCACATTTCGTATATAATAAATGATTTAGTTCAAACAAATATTTAAAACAAATACGTAAGTCGTGCGAGGGAACACACGCCATGCATATCAAATAAATCATTTAGTTCACACAAGCACTTAAACTAGCATGTACATCGTGCGAGGAAACGCACCTTTACTTGAGCAATTTCCATCGTCGTGAAATTCCAAAACCTTTTCCCTTCCTATCATTATACATCCATCTTATTCAATATGACTACCACAAGCCTTTAAAACTCCTAATAACATTCCTTAGTATACTATATTCTTGTTACTCACAATTCTCATCTAACTTAGTTCATTTCTATCCCCAACTCACATACTTTCTTTCCAAATTAATTATGTGATAATATTTCAAAATATATGAAATACTCAAGATTTTTAGATTATTAAAAAATTTATCATGAATTTATGAAATCAGAATGTTTCAGAAAATTTTATTAAAAAAATTGAATTTATCTTCAAAATTGCCAGAATAATATCTTTTGGAACCTTTGATTTATAAGACCTTCTAAATACTTGTAACTTTTATTACTTCTTCAACTAAAACTATCTTATTTGGAAAATATTACATTTCAATCTCTTATACATGTGTACCATAAATCGATTTAGAAATAATCCCCTGAAAAGATTGGAGGGTCACAAACGGACTCACTTAAAATCCAATCTCCTTTGACAAAAAATCTCTTAGTGATCTATTAGTACATAACTAAAACCTTATTAAGGAACTATTTTGATACAAACTAGGCATACTTTTATTATTTAAATAGGTATATTACTAAGAAAACATATATAATATTGTTTAGAAAAGTAGTATCTTACTACTAAGAAAGTATATATTGAGCTTTTAAGAAAGTGTAATATTAAAGAAACGTATATGACATACATTTGAAAGCATGTATACTACAAAATCTAATTTATATTATAAATTAAGAAAAAACATACTACTATCAGGGAATTATATATAGTATTACTTTGTAAGAAAGCATATTACAACTAAGAAATGTATGTTATTATTTAAGAAAACGAGCTACTATCACAAAAACATATGTATTATAATATTAATAACTTCCTAGTTCTACACATTCCAAATCCTAGATCATAATCAAGAGTCTAAATAAAGGAAATATAATTCCTAACATTTCTTCCTAATAACAAAACAAAAACTCTAACTAAAAGTGAGACTCGAAGGTTACCTCATAGAAGACCTTTAAAACTCTAAGAATTTCTCACAAGCTACTTTTGAGCTTCCTTAGACCTCCAGGAAAATTTTAATCAACTAGGGTATAGTCCTTCACTTGGAAGTGTCCACTCCTTTAGTTGATTTTGGTGTGTCCAAACCCAAAGTGAAACCCTCTACTTATAGGTGAAGATTTCACTATTTCTACCTACCCCTTCCTTATTTTTTAAAAATATTTTTTGACTATTCCTACCTACCCCTTCACTAATATTTTATCTCTAACTAACCATTCCTTATTATTTTAATATTTATTACTATTCCTACCTAACTCTTCCATATTATTTTAATTTTTTTGTAGAATGACCTTTACTATTGACATTTGCCTCTTATTAGTTTAACATTATTTTTACTATTTATGGAAGCTTCTATTATTATTATATTTATTATTATTGTTATTATTTTATTACTATTCATTGATCTCTTACTATTTGCTCCCTCCGTCCCATAATTATTGTCCAGTTTTACTAAAATGAAAGATTTTATTTTTAGTCAAACTTAACTATATTTTACCTTGAACATCCTGATATATCCCTACATAAGTAATTGTTTAACCACAAAGATTTTAATGGATAATGTTTTTTACTAATGACAAATGTGTAACTTGATCCATAAAAAGTGAAATCGGACAATAATTTTGGGACAAAATTTTTTGGGCAAAGTAGACAATAATTATGGGACGGAGGGAGTATTAATTTTCCCTTACTTTGTATTTTATCATATATTTTAGTTTCATGGATGCCTCCTAATTTTCACTATCTATAACTTCATTAATCTTATACTAATGAAGACTCTCGACTCTTCTAATTACTCTAATTACTATTATTATTATATGGTATTATCATTTTAACTTTGCGCCCATAATTTTTAAAATCTTTTTCTTTAATCTCATTTTCGATTGAATGTGATCTTTTTGCGTGCTCTTCTAAATCGGCAGCAGACTGGAATTTTGTAACCGTTGACATGATTGTTTACCCACAAAGTCGAAGGATTCAAGGCTCTGGGATACCAATTGTCATGTAAAAACAAAGTTCAGATTTAGTTGGCAGAATTCAGAGGATTAAGGAGTAGAATGGGAAGAAAAAGAGCATAAGAAATTCAGAAATTTTAAGGGAGACGGCTAGGGTTCTTAGACAGGAAAGGAGATGAGATATTTCATTCATCAAAAGCTTGATCTTCCATCATCACCGTTCGTACAATATATAAGAAATCTCTCCTACCCTCAACATAATTTAGATAATTAAACAAAAAAAAAAAAAAAAGAAAGCGATAATGCAGCAATGGAAAAACTATTACAGCTAAGCATTTCTGTCGTCTTGCATGAAGGGAAGCTTCTGGGAAATTTACTCAGCTTCAGCCCCAATCCACCTCAAACGCTGTCATTCTTATGCCCGAATCTGATGATTTTTAATTACCCGAAACAGAGACCCGCCAAGATAAAAACCCGATCCGCCAGAATTCAAACTTCATGACACCTGTTAAGACTAGCCCAGTAATCAAAATAAGATTAGCTCACACATTCAGATGTTCCCATGAACCTTATGTGAATGAAAGACGACTCAATCGAACATCTGTTCTTCAGATGTTACGTCACTACATCTTTACAACCTTATTTAGTTCAACAAAACCTTTACTTCGGGATAAGGGAGTATCATTCAACAAGCTTACGAGTTATGCACGGCAAGGTGGAGAGTTTTAGAAGTATCAAGAATACAATACATCAGATATCAAATTCAACCTAATCAAACGAAGGAATGATGTCGTCATTCGATCTATTTAAAAATAACCATTCTCAGCCATTAATAATACAACAAATAATATATACAATTAGCAATTTTATCTGGTGCCGACAAATTTAGTATCACCTTGAATCAAATCCCAGCAATTTTATCTGGTGCCGACAAATTTAGTATCACCTTGAATCAAATCCCAAATCTCAATAGATGACACTCTCCAAAAGACAGGAAACGTAAGGCAGCGGACCAATCACACCATGTTGAATATTCTAGCTCGTCCACCTCCAAACCATGATCACAATGATGATTGTGATAACCATGCCCGCATATTTAATCCATCTATCCACACGATTACGCCTTTCAATAAGCCTCAAAACAGAATTTGATAGCCCCAGTCTGTTAAGAACATCAAGTGCTTTCCGTTGTGCTCTCTGCACAAAGAATATCCACAATATCACATCAGTATCATCGAAAAGTTGCTTCCGCCGTCCCATAATAATTACTAACATTTCTGAAATAAAAATAGTTGAGAAACAGGATTGTGTACTCGTCTTTGCACTGCTTTTCGTGTATGGTGAAATAAATATTGCCACTATACAAAAAACTCGCTAATTCTATATTACGTTTATGCAAAGGTTAAAAGCTACTAAATGCATTACCAGCACCTTTTCAGGACATGAGAACATTGATCAGCCCACAACGAGATGTGTGATGAAAAAAGTTGAAAAAAATTTTAGTATCGCAAACCAGTTACCTTTAGATGATCCCTTTGCTCACTATATTTTGACAGTATAGCCACCCCAGTTGCATATGCTTCTTCCAGCATTCTAGATGAGCTCTGAACTGACTGCCTCGCTTCAGCTTCCTCATCGAAGATCCTCAAAATATGAGAAGATTCCCCGTTCTAGAATACACAAAATTTACAATAGTGATATAAGAATATTTTCATTGAACCCGAGTTACACTTGAAACAATCAGCATGAAGAGATGCAAGAGGCATGACAAGATTCTTACAGCTCGTCCTAGCAATTCAGCTCTCTCCTGAGCTTCTTGTTTTCGTCTTTGATACCGCAGTGAATACCTGTCTAGACTCTCTTTCAATGACTCAGCCTCTTCAGCCACTTGCTCCACTTTTCTGTGCAATCAGAACCAAAAATAAAAAAATTAAAAAAAAACTGCCATGGTAACTCAACTAACCTTTTACAATCAATAAACATATTTTCATTCACTTTCCTTTACAAAGAACCCAAAGCAGAGAGTGAAAATGCATTCTGTACGCCCATAACAGCAAACCAAAAAACTATACCGAATTATGTTTACTTGTGATTTAAGGGAGAGTTGACATGTCTTTGATTTCTTATTGCCTAAAAGACTTCACATTCGGGAAAACCTAAAAGACTTAAAATCCTAAGAAGACTATTTATTTGGTAAAATTTTCCAATAATCATACATGGAAAAAAGTGAAGAACGCAAGCTAAAGTTTAGTTTGTGCTTTCCATAACAAAAAAGGGATGGCACAAGGAAAGAAAACCAGTAGACCGGACTGTATTTACGCCATGGACACCCAGCTAACTCTTTCCATCCTTTCTTCCTATATATTCTTTGCATGTTACCTGAACTCACAAGTTCCTGAAAGAATGGATCTCCATGGGAAAAAGAAAAAAAAAGAAAAAACAAAAATGCCCTGTCCTAAAGCACCGGAATCATATTCAAGCTCCATCCAGCACATTGCAAACTCAAAATGACGCACCTCTTCATGATATCGGATCTCAATTTGTCAACCTAAATGGCATCAATCTTTTTATCTTTTCCAGTACCAGTAAATCTCGATGGATTCCCATCAACACCCATCTCCTCCATAGTTGGACTTTCCAAGAAAATTTCATTGCACAAAAGAAATTTCACGTACATCCGAAGAATTAACAGGACCTAAAATCTCCACATGGCATGCAAACTCTCAAGAACCACGAGCAATGAAGGCTTTTCTGCTAACATCCAGTAACCTCCCTAGTGCCCCTGTAGGTTACTCGGTACAATGAGTAAATGTAGCCTCCAGGTGAATTGTTCAACTGTTTGTTGCACTGAAAGTTCAATGATTTGTCCTTGCTACTAAATAAGTTTGGGTGTAGGATTGGCAACTTACACTTGCATGAAAGTGAGAACTGGGAGCTCAGCTAGCAAAATCAACACAACCAGGAACAAAGAGAACAAAACAGCGAATCCAAAACCCAGTCCTACGAATTTTCAAAACAAACTCGTCGGACAAAGTTTTTAATAAATTACAAAGTTTGCATATCGTTTCTAGCCTCAACTTTATTTATTAAATCCGTACATCTTTAGATATTCATTAACTATAACTCTAGCTAAGTGATATTTATGAAGAGCTGAAAATATCAGCAAACCATGGCAACAACTTGTAAAGAAAGGAGCATTGGACCTTCCAATCAAATTATCTGAATAACTTGATATTCAAAAATATGTATTTTCAGCTTTTATTTTTCTTTAAATTATTCAATATGTTACTCTGATTCATGACATGTTGGACAAGTTCAGCTCTCAAGCACCTCAGTCCACAAATATTATGCTCACGCTGCTCTTGCGGTATTCCATGAGCTTATAGTTAATAAAACCTAGATGTTAGCAGTCCAGAGTCACCCATGATTACCACCTTGATGCAGCAATTATTATGATCCTTCAAATAAGACTTCTTCATAGAACAGCTACCAGGAAAATCCTCTACACTTTGCTGGTTTTCCTGTTTTTCGAGGAACCTTTAGTGTAGGATCCAATGGAAGGCAATCTTCTAGCAAGGATTTCTAAGAAATGATCACTGAGATTACTTAAAGGCCCTTCATAATTTACATAGAGCTTTGGATAATATCTTATGATCCTAAAGTTTAATTAAGCCTAAAGTAATCTATGTGAGTGATTCTCAAACCACTGGCACGCTAGAGGATTATAAATAGCGGTATTCCAACATCCAAAAAACCAACAAAAGAATCAGACAGAAAATTAACCAGAAAGCTTAAAAATAAATAAAATAACTCAACGGACCTTTTCCAGAGGCCGCGCTGGGATTTCGCGGGGTCAGCGGGGATTGATCGCCACATGTGATCCATTTCAGTACAGAGGGAGAGAATTTGAGAGATATCTCGCTTCACAGAATCAAAAAGCTCCGGCGAAGAGTCCAGAGATGACGACGAGGAGTACTCCAGACGCTCTAGTCTCTCCAATCCATCGCGTGACTTGAGGAGCAGCCTCTTGCAATTTTGATAAATATCCGACAAAGTTCCACCTCCTCCTCCTCCTCCTACGCCACCGCCTCTCCCACCGACGAATTCCGCCGCCATCGTCGCCATAAATATCAGTCAGGGGGCAGAAGGGGCTTCAAGGCCAGCAGGAAAACAGCCCTTTGCTGGTGGTGATAAACGCGGATCTGATGGAGGGGATGTGGCCTGTTGATGATGAAGAAGACGGAGCACCGAGTAACGTGTTCTTCGGTTGTAAATTGTAGGACGCCAAATTAAAGTTTTTATTTTGGGCCGAAGTTTATTGAGCTTAATGGAAAATGTTAAACGATACAACTTTTCTTATTTTCTAATTTTATTATTATATCGATTTTAGTTTTCAAGATAGGAATTGCGTCCTAATTAGGGCGTTCTACTTATAACTACAAAATTCAAGGGGAATACCAGCTAGTTAGCGAATTCATCCCAAATTTTTAAAGTGGTTAATTATGTTTCAAAGTTATTAAAATTGAGCATATCCATCTCGTGACCTGCAAACCAATAAATATGACCTGCGATAACATGTAAACCTCATTTGGTTCCAATATTTAACATTATTACTAATTTTTTTAAATTTTAAAAAATGTTTTGGTTTATTGAAAGACAAATAACATTAATAAAATGAAGAAATTTAACTTATTTAATATTTGAAAGACAAATAACATTAACAAATTAAGACATTCATCTTAATTTGTAACTAAAAGTTAAGATACATCCCAAATTTTTTTCTTTTTACTTTGAGTGAGAAAAGGAATGATTAAAATTTCACATATGTATATTTGCATTCAATAACTAATCAATTTTGAGTTCATTCTAACTTTTTAAGTTTAAGTTTGTGATGAATTAATTCTTTTTTAATAATTAATTAAGTTTTTATGAGTTTTTTTCCTTTTGAATTTATGTTTATTTTTCTAATGAACTAAAAATAACGAAAAAGAATAAATGAGGAAAAGAAAAAGAATAAACAAGGGACTCAATAGATTTTTACATGTTATTACAGGTCACTTTTGTGTTTTGCAGGTCATGGGATGAATTTGTCCAATTTTAATAAACTTGGGACGTAATTGATCAATTTTAAAATATTAAAATAAATTAACTAGTTGAGTATAAATGTTGAGACTTATGCACTCATTTACCCAGATTCAGGGTTTAGAACCTCAATAAGAGGCAAACACGAGCAGAATTTCCTTATTATCTCTTTCCTCAATAAATTCCCCTTTTATTGTAACATTGTAGGTAACTCCTAAACACCAATACGTGCTAGATTGTTATATTAAAAAAAATCAAGTTAAAAAAATTTTAAATCTAAATAATCAATTAATTATTTGGACAAAGTATAAATTGTTATATTAATAAATTATATGTTTTTTTCCAATTTTATTTTTATAACCAATTTTTTTTGTACTATAACTATGAGTGGATACCAATTAAGTTGTCATTTGTACGAAATATACAATGTATTACGAAATTAATAAATTACTTGAACCAATGAAGTGTTAAAAACTAATGTTTTATGAGGAAAATACTACGTACCCTTTCCAAAATAAGCAAAACGACAAAGTTTTTAAGGTTTTGAAAGATAGATAATAAATTATTCCCTCCGTTCCAGAAAAATACTATGTTACATTGAATTTTAACATTTGTAATAAAAACAATAAACAATTCAAAATTTGATATAGACAATTTTTTAAGAGGGAATTGATAGATTGAGAGCAGATTTGTTATATTGAGAGTAAAATTTTATTAATTTCCTATATTACCCTCGTCTAAAATTTTATTGAAATTATTAATTTTTTTCCACATTTTTTTCGTTTTTTTTCTCAACTATTCCTTCACAAATGAAGATAGGGGCGCGCGGTTCTTCCGCTTGGCATCATAATTCATCTACGGCCCCTCTATTGCTTGTTTGGTCTAAAACCAAATATGTTTTGTATTCCTTCAGATCAATGTTTTTCATCAAAATCAATTTTTATTTTTTGGTTTAGTTCATGGTGTCCCGTACCGAAGCATTGAAGTGAGTTTAATGGGTAATTCTTTCGCATAATAAGTGTTAAATTCATACAATGATTTGTTTTAAATAGTAGCCATGTAAAATTAGAATTAATTTTAAAGATAATTGCGAGGGGTGAATGAGGTGGTAACTTTGAATGAAACCGGCGGCTGGAAAAGATTTTGATGGGCTCGGGACAAAGGAGTGGCTGGAAGGTTTGTTTTGTGAAGGTTGTGGCTGAATTGAACTTGATGAAGTAGTTTTCCGTTCTGATTCTTTTCTTGAAAGTTTTGCTTAATAAAGTAGTTTTCAAGAAGTTTTGTGAAACTATTTTTTGAAAATGCATTGGATTTTTTGATTTGGTAGTGAAATCATATTAGTCAAATAAAGATCAATATTGTTACAAATGACGACCAGATCAAAGAAAAGAGAAAATTCAGGAAAAATAAATAGGATGAGACTTTTATAATTCTAAGGATAATTTAGATAGTTGGTAATATTTTGCTCTTAATCTAAAAAAACTGCTCTCAATTAATCACCTCCAGGCAGAGAAAGTATAATTTTATCCGAATTGTCCCTACTTTAAGTTACTAATGTTCATGTTACCATTGAAATTGCTGGAACTGATATCATGAACACTTTTGAATTCACTCAAAAGGTATTTACTGTTGTAGTTGACGAAACACTTTTTCTTGACATGGAAAATGATTTTTATTTAACTTTTAAGAGATCCAAGGATCGAATTTTATAAGAGAAATGTAAAAGGGATTATCCATGATTAAAAGTGGTACCTAATAGAGGTTTTTTTTTTTTTTTGGTTGTTTTTCTTTTAAGTACCGCTCTTTTCAAAAGTGTTACAAAAAATATATATATTTTTTTAGGTAAAAATAAGAAGATATATTAGCGCAATGTGAAAAAATGATTATACTTTAATAGTGTTTGCAATATTTTTAGAAGTGTGTGCCAATCATCAAACTACGAAAATTTGAGAATAAAAGGCGCTTTTTGAGAATAAGAATTTGTTGATTTGGTAACTCTAACTTGATGTACGTATGCTCGTATAGATGTGCTCCGAGAGTAAAAGCTTTTTTTTTTTTTTCTTTTACATTATTCAACTCAATAATATCTTCGCCCTTGAACTAGCAAATCAGGCCCAATCAAATGGTGTTCTTTTTTCTTTTCTTGGTTTTACTTAATTTCAGTGACATGAGATTCCACGTGCATATTTTAATAGAGCTAGGGCTGTCAGTTCGGGTGGGTTCGATCGATTCGAATAAAATCGATTTGGGTTAATCGATTTTTTCGATCAACCCGCTCGAAACCAAACCACAGAATTTTTAATACCGAACCGAACCGACCGAAAAAAAGTTTCGATTTTTCGATTCGGTTTGCGGTTCACCCACACTCAATCTTCGAAGAACAATTTGGACACTTTTTTTACCAAAAAATACAGAAGGAAGAACTGAAGAAGATGAATTCTCTCCAATAATACAGATCTAAACATACATAATTAGATTTTCAAATGCAGCTAAAACCCCAGTAAACAAAAACAACAGAACATGATACAAATGACAAAAATTCCTCCAAAATTATAACCGGGTCTCCATTAGAAGATGAATTTGACAAAAGCCCAAATCAAATTCAACCAAACACCAAATGCAATGATAATCGAAAGATTAAGGCGCAGATCGGTTAAGACTGGAGAGCTCAAAGGCGGAATTACCGCCATGGCTGCAAAAATCGCAGTTGCAAAATCAAGGAAGATTGCCATCAGAGTTTTTACTCCACCAAATTATGGATCAGACACCTCAAAACCTCCGAATGAACTCCTAAAAAACAAATTTTTTTTTTGTCTTCATAGCCCATAATAAAAAAAAGGATCAAAACCCACATCACGAAACCGATCAATAATGGAAGGAAGCAGAAGGAGTAGTACTTGAATTCTTTCCTTCCAATAAGAAGAATGAAAAATCTGAACACAAAACAAAGAGAAAAAAAAAGAAATTAATAGATATAGAAATTCAACAGATCTAAAAATACAAAAATTTAACAGATCCATGACCTAAATCAATTTAGTTTCAACAACAAGTAACGATCCGGTCGCAGATCTAAGACTCTAAAGCCTCAAAAAAATTTCCCTTCAAGCTGGTAGTCTCCCAATGGCGAATCAAGAACAAAAATTGGACTTTGGAGGGGTGGAGCAGTGTGGTGTAGATGGGTAAAAGACACGTGGGAGTAGGGGTAGTCAGGTGGAGGAAGGGTGTCGCGGCCAAAAACAAAAAGGAGGAGGAAATGAGTAAACCCAGTAACAAATTACCATATACACATATTTATATTTAATTAAAAAAATAAATAATAACTAAATCGAGTTTCGGGCGGTGTCCGAAAAAATTTCTCTTCACCCGCACCCGCATCGGACTATCTCTGCGATTAAACGGGTGCACCCGTATTGCCCGAATTAAATCAATTAATCGATCCGTTTTCCCTAAATCTAAAAACGGGCGGATATTCGGTTTGACCCGCTTTATTGCCAGCCCTAAATAGAGCCATAAGAAATATATGAAATAGGAGTAAGACCAAATGAACATCGCCACACAGCAAGTATAGTGCACATGTAAATAATACTACAACACGGAATGAGAAATACGGTTATACATCTCTATTACAGGGCAACAAACAGAACCTCCACATACACACATCTAGAGAGTGGTGTGAAGGATTGGAAAGCTCAGCAGATTAATTGCTTAGTTGGTTCGAGGGGCAGCCCATTCAACTCTAAGGATGAGATTATCATAACCGTATCCATTGAGTTTACTAATGGCTCTCTCAGCATCTTCCCTGCTCACAAAATTCACAAAACCAAAGCCTCTGCTGTAGCCAGTCTTCTGATCAACAGCAACATAAACTCGGCTCACAGGACCAAAAGGACGGAACAGCTCAAGCAAATCAGGCTCTCTTGTGTCCTCTGAAAGATTAGTCACCCTGACAGAGTTCTCTTCATGCCTGCGTCTACCCATATCAGCTCCACCTCTCTCAGCAGCTCCTGCTCTCATACTAGGAGGAACATATGAAGAAGACTTTGAACCACCAGGTGTCGTTGGCCTTGCCTCTGAAGGTGGCTTATCAACAAAAACATCAGCTGGGTTTGCGAGATCCTTGTAAGGGCACCTTGATGTCCAGTGATCACCCTTCTTTCCGCAGGTTCTACACACCATGAGAACAGCCCCTCCTTTAGGTAAGAGGTCTCCTGGAGCATTTTCCTCTTGTTTGGAGCCTAGCCAAGGTTTATTAATGTTCAGAACAAAAAGATACCCAGACAGGCATTACAAGAAAGGATCTAAAAAATTTCAGGCACTCAATACATACATTGCGAACTGTAAGAAGCAAGCTTACGAAATGTTATTTAAGGAACATATAGAAAATGGAGCACAACAAGTCTAATTCAATAAGGCAATTTCCTTGAACTGTGGTTAATACATTTACCTTGCAAGTCATGCCAAACCCCAGCCCTTCCAAATTTCCTTTCCCTCTCAAACCTAACCATTTTTATCGAATATATGGCCCTAAAATCACCGTAAAGAAAGAGAACAAACCGAGTATAGTTCGCGCTACATGCACTTATCATCCTCAATGCAGTTGTAGTAGTAAACTCACGCAACACTAGTCGAATAATGTGATTGGTAGATAGAAAATCTATCTCCTGATTTGCAGAAAAAATTGAATAAACATTCCATTTCTACACTATAATTACTACATTCAAACAAATCCCTGAATAGACCTGGCTGGCAAACTAAACTTGTCAAATTAGGCTCTTTGCAGTGTCACTCCCTGGTTCAAAAGTTTTGCTGATAAAAAGATACGAACAGAAGAACAAAACATATAAGAGCGTTGATAAATAAGTATAGAATTTGCAGGGTGGAAACGCAGACCAGCTTCTCCTCATTCTCAATTACACAACAATATTATTTCAACAAAATGAGCTTCCAAAAACAAATCAGGTTTAATGAAGATCACTAAACGTAAAGAACTGCCAACAAACATAATCTAACAATCACAACCCCTAAAGATTCATCCAAGAAGTCCTCACATGTGCAACCACCTTGTTTTAAGAAACATTCCAACATAGAGCAGCTAACAACTGACTCAAAAATGGACTTAATTCTATACCACTTCATTTTGCTCTCTAAGATTTCTCATATTTTCAGAAATCTAAACGAAAAAAACAAATGCTCCCATCCATTCGAAATTCCAAATCAAAACTAAAAATGTAAATCAGCGAAAAAAAAAAAAATCCCAGCATGTGTTGGCTAGAATACCAGGTGCACTATCATCAAACCACATAGCAAAAATTTGTGGTGGAAAATTACATTAAGAAAAAGAAAATCGATGAAAAAGTTACCGGGGGCTTTAGGTCGTTCCAGAAGAATCTCTTCGGTTGAAACCATGGTAAGGCGGGCGCCAACATCTTCATGAACAGCGTCCCCGAACTTGGACCACGATCGGCGCTCGACTGCGCGTTTGCTGAGCCGGGCGTTCGCGAGTTTGCGGATGCGAATTGTGGTGGTTATCTTTACTCTGTTACCTTCTTCGTTGTACTTGTATTCGATGACTTTCTTAATCCCATTCTGGTCGGGCCCAATTACCTGCTTTGGGGGCAGAAGAAAGTCGAGATCCTCTCCATCGTCTTCTTCAAGCTCCCCCCATCGGAGCTTGTTCGGTTGCGCCGCCGCGTCCGCCACCATAGTCGATCTCTGTTTTTCAATTAAGGAAGGGTTTATTGTGTTCCCGAAATATTCGGACAGTTTTTGTTATTTATCAATCCTAATTGGGCCAATTCGGACCATTGGACATTTGGATTGGACTGGATTGGTAATGGTGTCATGCCCTTAGACTAAAATATAGGCAATAGAAAGTAGAAGGACCAAAATGTCATTTTAGAAAATAGGTAGATTATAAATAGAGGTTTGGGTCTGTAAATTAGATGATCGAGAATATTATGCCAAAACTGACTTTTTCAGTTCTCCTTCTTCTTCTTCGATTTCCATTTCACCGAAACCCTAGTTTCCCCTGATCTCAGTCCAAATTTCTCCCGTTCTGCTTTTCCAGCCACCCCAAGGCTCCCGGAGCGTGACATTTGGTATAAGAGCGGTCGATTCTTGGCCGTCTCTTTATCAATTTTCACTTTCTGATTCATTCTCTTCTTCCCCGTTCTTTCCTTTTGCCCTCTGAAATCTGAACTCCATTGCTTCCTCCCATTTCTGAAATCTGTGCGATTTCTCCATTTTCTTGATTCGCACCAAACCCTTACTTTGTTTTCCCCTTTATTTCGCGATGGAATTCATTAAATCTGAAGAAACTCAATGCCGGGTTCAAACCCTGCTATCTTGTCCATCATTAGAAGTAAATCCGTCTGACCCGACACCGTTCAACCTCCCTGAACCTTCACCTTCTGGAATCCTCCTCTTTTCCGACAAAAAATTCACCGATTGGCTTGACCTAATTGAGGAATTCTTCTTTCACAATCGCGTTCCATCTCATATGAAGCTATTCACTGCTTCATTCTATATGTCCAGCGAGCCTTTAAGGTTTTTGTACGGATTGACCTACGTTTCCCAAATATCGACTTTGGAGGAATTCGCGAATCAATTGGAGCTTAGATTCGTGTAATACATTCGGCCAACCAAACGGATTAGCTTTTGGGAGGCATCGTCTGAGGATACCCTAGTCACTGAGCCATCACTTGATCAATGCATCGGGTGTAAATTAGCCTTAGAAGATGATGATGAAGCCAATCCATCAGTGGAGGAATCAACTGAAATTCCAGCTGCGGTGCTCCAAGAATTTGACTCTGAGATGAGGCAATTGATGAAAAGGATAAATTCTAATCTGATGTAGAAGTTAAAATCTGAAGTTTCCCATGTGGTTTGCTCAGAATCAGAAAGTAATGCTATGATTTTAGATAAGGATATTAAAGAACCTGTTGTTCCGGCTGAGGCTAAGTTTGATTTCAGTCATGATGATGAAATGATTCTAAATGATTGTGTTGTGCCGCTGAGTGTTGTTTCCACTGATATGTTGAATTCTGTTGAATCAGCTGATGTTTTAAATCATTTTGGGAATGTCGGATTTGGCCCGGACTCATTTGATTTTGAACCGGGTGGAATGGTAAATTCGTGTACTGGAAAAACTATTGGAAAAAGTATGCTCTCTATTAATGATGATGTTAATTTTTCACTTGAGTGTGTGGGTGTTACTTGTATGAATTCTGGGGGTAATGAGGAAACAGGTGAAAAAGGTGTTGTGAGTGTTGTTTCTCTCATTTTGAATGATTTGAATGTTGATCAAGGGACTGATGATAATATAGATTTAGATTGTTGCTATGTGTCAGTAATTAGAGTTTCAGTTGAAATGATGAAAGCACTTGGCAGAAACGATAGGGCAGTTAATTTCTGGAATGATAATGGAAAGATAAGCAGTTTGATTGGTCAAGAGAGTCGATTGAACTCCTTTTTTGTTGATCCTGGAGGTTTAGAAAATCTTCCTTGCATACTGAGAGGTGCTGCCTTCTTATCTGATTATGGTAATACTATATTGGTGGAATGTCCTCAACTGAACAAAATATGGCATCCTTTTAGTATAAGGGGGTTTGGGTTTATTCAGTGGTTTGGTTATTCTCGAGTTATTCTCGATTTTATTGGATGTGAAGAGTGGAATGACGCTTCAGAGACTTCTGATTTTGATAATCCTCTGGAGGTGACTGATGATTGGAAGAATCGACATTTTAACCTTGGAATTCGACTGAACTGGGTTGCTGTTGAGCCTGGTGATGACAACTTTTTTGTAAGTAAAATTTCTGACAGATTCTGTGTGAACAATTTAATTAGAAGGATTCCTCGTGGTTGTTTTGTATTTGGTGGGGTGAGTTCTCGTTTCAATGGCGGTAAAGACTCAAGCCCTTTTTCTGTTATTCTTGGAGGAACCCCAAAGATGGTTAGTATTAATTCTGATAGTGATGGACATGGGTTTGTTAATTCTTGCTGCAAGTATATGGGCATTGAAATCAACTGGACAAGAGATTATGGGAGGAAAAATGATTATATGTGTTTAGGTACTGATTTTGGTTCAATCCTGCGTCAAACTTTATTGACAAATGGTTATGGCAATGGGTTAATCACCACGAGACTTGGTGATGATGATAGTGAAACTAAGTCATGGCCTGAAGTAGGACTGATTTTCAAGGTGGTACTGATTTAAGAAGATTGGTCATTTCTGTCGGTTTAATCCTTGAGGGCAAGGATGTTTCTAGTGGCAAGGGATGGGACGAACTTCAGCTGCAGAATTTAATGGTTGATGGCGTCATTGTTTTGTCTAGGGATCATGTGAAGAAGCAGCTCATCACTGGCTTTTCCGGTATAGTGTCTTTAATGATATTTGGTAGTACAATCTGGAATTTAGTTGCTGAAGATGATAAGTTTCTCAGTGTCAATGCTATCAATGATAATTATGATTTTGATGTTATCAAACATGCTTGGTTATTGTATGATGAAATGAGTGGACTATTGTTTGAGCCTACATGTATTTTTGATCATTTCGCTGAAGTTGTTGAATATTGTGTAGCTACTAGATTTAAAAGAAATACTAGAATTGTTGATGGAGTTTCTCTTTAGTAGAATGAGCTATATAGTCTGGAAGCTAGAAACAGTTTGTGGCTTATCGGTGGTAATGGTAGTAGCATGTTATCAAAAAGTACCACATATTTGAAGCTGAATACTTCTCTCTCTGTGAATGTTATGTAAATTATGTCTTCAAAGTTGAGAAGCTTATTGGTAAGGAAATGAACTTTGTTTGGTGGGTTGCCTGGCACGTATTAGTAGCTGTTCTTATGGAGACTTTTAATGGAGCTAAGAGCTCATATATTATTAAGAAAAATCTGATTTTTGTTGAAGAATATATGCACTGTGAAGATCAGGTTCTGCGTAAGGAATTTGCTAGTAATTCCATTTGTGTTGTCAACCCTATTGTTCTGGAAATGGTCCTTATTATGTCGGGTGAAACTGCTGAAAATTGTGTAGCTACCAGACTTAAAGGAAGATCTGTAACTGGGAGTTTTATTGACAGGGTTCAAGATGTTTATTCTGAAATCTTGAATGAAACAATGTTAGGTGTAGTGCCCAGATTAAGTTATACCTTTGAAAAATTTGAAGGATGTGTTGAGGGCAACTCAAAAAGTGTCAGAGGCTTGGTACCCATTCGGAATTGTCTTGATCCTAATTGGGGACAAAATGAATGGAAATCAAAACCTCAAAAAGCATCAGTTATCTTATGAATTGATCATTTGGTTCCAGATTGGTACTGTTTCCAACATTGTGCTTTGTGCCAATCATTCCACTTGGGGCTATTGTGTATCCTTGCCATATGATCCGGGAGGATCGATTATATATTCAGTTCCATTTGGTTTAATTGCTGCTGAAAATAATGGATTCTTTGATATTAGACAAGGTTTATACAGGACTCATCCAGGATTGGTCTTAAATCAATACAGTGGTAGCTCTGTAACACAGTATTTAGGTTGGGGAGCAAGGAAGTTGAAAGCATGGCATGAATTGTTGTCTATCTTTGAAGGAGGAACAACCTACTGAAGAGAACCAGTAGCTGTTGTGATAGTTGATGAGATACATTTCATTGGATGATTGCTTGGATGGAACTGATTATTGTGGAGGTCTCAAATCTGAAGGACCATATGTTTTGGTTCACCGAGTAGATAGCATTGGTTTGATATTGGTTGCTGTGGAATACGGAAGATCGAGATCGAGAGTAGTTCTCCATTTCACTTTTTTTGAGTCTGTTGTTTTTCTTTCCATTGTTAGTTTCTGTTAATTTTTTGTTGTTTCATTTTGAAGTAGTAATTCGTGTAATGACAGTCTTGTCCCAAGACTGTTTTTAGTGGAGGAGTTTGTCATGCCCTTAGACTAAAATATAGACAATAGAAAGTAGAAGGACCAAAACGTCATTTTAGAAAATAGGTAGATTATAGATAGAGGTTTGGGTTTGTAAATTAGATGATCGAAAATATTATGCCAAAACTGAATTTTTCAGTTCTCCTCCTTCGATTTCCATTTCATCGAACCCTAGTTTCCCCCGATCTCAGTCCAAATTTCTCCCGTTCTACTTTTCCGGCCATTCCAAGGCCCCCGGAGCGTGAGAAATTGGATCAAAGTATTTTTTTTCTAACATGCTTAGGCTGTATAAAAATGCCCAAGTTACATCATAATACCAAACTAATCTAAACAATAGCCCAAATGACCAAATAATTAAACATAAAAAAGGAGTGATCCACCCCATGCAAAACATGGATCCAAGTATTTGTTTGTTTGTTTTTTGTTTTGTTTTTTTTTTTTTTTTTGGCTTTGAGACTCAGATTTATATAGGTCAAATTCCCTTTTCACAGGCATAATTCCACATCAAGTCAATGTTAAATCACCTTATCTGTTTTGACAACGATTAATTTCAACACTTGATGTCTTCCTAAGGGAAAATGTTAAACTAACATAATCTTATGTTGAAATATAACAATTGAGCCCATTAATTGCAGAGAAAATTTATGTGTCACTAACTTTAGTACTATAAGGCTCTGTTTGATAATCACTTAAGGCTTTGTTTGATAATCACTTAAGTTTAAAATCTGAACATTTAACACTGAACACTAAAATATGAAGTTTGAAGACTAAATTTAAATGTTGTTTGATAAAAACGTTTGAATTTGATGTCTGAAGTTTGAAACTAACTCTAATTAGTTATGAATGTTTGACTTTTACTTAAGTAGTATCCTAAGGATACCAAAATGTCACCTCGCTATAGAACCAGGGCTAACCTACACCAGCTTATACCCAGACAAGCACACAGTTCCACCTGACGGTAACCCGAGATAAGCAACCAGCTCTCCCCGAGATAAGCACACGCCTTACCCCAGAAACGAGTTTACACATTGGAAGACTACAAAATGGCTATCACAATGGCTCAACAGTTGAAACTGCTAACACTTAACCAAATCAAAGTACACAAGTCAGTTCATTCTATTGATTTGATGAATTATCATAGTGTTGGACTAATCTGACGATTATGAATTATCATCAATTCATTCTATTGATTATGAATAGTCTCCGGACTAGTTGGTTCTCGGTGATGGTTAATGGCTTTCCAAATGGTTTCTTTCAATCATCTTGTGGAATCAAACAAGGTGATTCACTTTCACCTTACGTGTTTATTTTGGATGCGGAAACAATGACAAGGAGACTTAAAAGTCTTGCTCAAAACTAAAAAATAGCTGAGTATGGTACCCCATCAAGATCACTGTGAATTTCCCATTTATGTTTTGGGGATGACTTGATATTATTCACAAGGGGAGAAAAGCGGTCTCTAAAGGAGTTGAACTCTTTATTTGAAGATTATGAAATTGCATCCGGCCAGAAAATGAACCGAGCCAAGAGTTTCTTTTTGGTAGCGGAATCATGCCGAGTATCTAGTGTTGATATGATCAAGCGGGTTTTGGGAATGCCAAAGGGTTCCTTTCTGTTTATGTATTTAGGTTGCAAGCTATTTTATGGTAGAAGCAAAGCCTCAACTTTTCAGTTTCTTTTGGATTCACCAGACTAAAATATCACAAGCTGGAAAAATAAGTTGCCAAGTCCGGGAGGTAGACTAGTGCTTTTGAGGCATGTGCTTACAGCAATACCTATTCATGTATTCTCGGCAATCCCCCTCCTATATCGGTGGTAAAGAAAATGGAAAAAAGTGTCAGCGGTTTTTATGACCATGCTCAAGCAATGAAAGAAGAAGACATTGGAGAGCATGGGATTGTCTGACTTTCCAAACTTCTGAAAATGGAGTAGGCCTGCGCTGGTTTCAAGATGTGTTTCAAGCCTTCTCATATAAGCTATGGTGGAAGGCAAAACAACAAAATGGGTTATGGAGCAACTTCATTTTGTCACTTTTGGATGCTGCCAGGAATAAATCTTTGTGGAGTAGGATCAAGAAAGTAGAATATGAGGCGACTAAACATTCGAAAGTTTTGGTGGGGGGTGATAGATCTTTTTGGTTCGACAATTGGATGCCGAATGGAGTGATATGGGACACTTGCGAGTTTTAGCCACCTTTTTTTTAAAAAACAAAACAGAAAAGGTTAGAACAATATTCAGGTTCTAACTATATCAAATATACTCAAGGAATTTACTCAAGAGATATGTTTTGAGCCAGCCAGTGCTAGATGGTATAATACACCTAAGGGTATACCCAAGGGATGGACATATATATCATCCAGTTCCCTAGTATCGTTCCTCCATGTTGTTATTTCCTTTAATGAACAGAGAGGCCAAGGGTAGAGTATGTCCTAACCCTAGGCACTTTACAATAGGACTATAAGTCATAGAGACTTATCTAATGAGGAGAGTGTCTCACAAAAGCTAGACATTAAACCCTTGACACCTTATCATCTATGCATCGTAAAATACCCTATCTATATACTTTACAAAATCTCAAAATGTGGAGAGTAGCTAAAAACTATCTACTTCTAAAATAAGGAACAAATAGTTTATCTAAGTGAGCTTTTCCTCGGACTAAGGCTGGAATGTCTGTAAAATATTGGTATTGCCTTGTAACTCCTTCAGAAGCTTTCTTGGTAAGGTCATTTGCGACACTATTTGTCTCCCAAAAGATGTGAATAATTCTTGAGTGACACAGTCTTGGCATTTCTTGTATCTCTCGAAGATAATGATAGTGTTTCCAAAGAAAAGCCATTCCTTTTTGGAGACATAGTCTGATGACCTTACTATGAGTTTGCACTTCTACTCGTCTCAGTCCTTTTTCTGAGCAAGCCTTTAGGCCTTGACCTACGAGTTCCACTTCCATACTTGTCGCCATACCCATATATTTGCTTTCAACTGCAATGATAGTCCCTTGCTCATTCCTTAAAACATATCCCCATCCAGCTTTGCCTGATTGTCCCAATGCGGATCCTTCTGTATTTAGTACGAACTCTCCAGGGTCAGGTGGCTTCCATTTTACAACTTGTATTTTCTTCCTTGGCGGTTTTATCACCTTCACTTTGAAAAGATCCTCCACTTCTTTTTGTTCCGTGGGAGTGTTTGCTTGAACTTATGTAAACTCAACATTTGGGAAATATTAGTAGCAATATTATTAATCAAAAAATCATGGGAAAAAGGGATACCTTCATAGATTATTTTATTTCGGAGCTTCCATACTTCCCATAATAGATTATTTTATTTTAGCCACCTTTGCTTGAGCTAAATATCATTGAATTTTTTGCTAATAAAAGTTCCTTTTCAAATGGTTTGTAGGACTATTTAAATCCGGAAATGGCGCAGACATTGGCGAGTACGGAATTAACCCTAACGCATGAGCGCGACCATTTAATATGGTAGCATACTTCTTTGGGGATTTTCTCTGTCAAGACAGCATATCTTCAGTTGAGGAGAAGGAATGTTGAAGATCCATTATCAAAGAACTTTTGGCTTAAGATGATTCCTTTGAGAATCTCTTTCTTTGTTTGGAAGCTTTGGAACTTGATTGTGTCATTTCCTGAAATTTTATGTAACTTTGGAATCCAGATTACACCTTTCGTGTGCATCTTTTGTAAAATGCATGAGGATAACCTAGGACATTGCTTTTTTGGTTGCCCTGAAGTGAAGGAAATTTGGAAGCATTTTGTAGATATTTTTCAAACGAACTTGTGTGATGATGATAACCTCTTGGCTGTTTTGCTAAATTGGTGGAAAAGGGACAGCTTTGAATTGGCAAAAAATGGCTCTGATTAAAGTTCTGCCATCGCTTCTTCTTTTCAGAAATCTGGAAAATCAGAAATAAGGTTTTGTTTGATGGAAATGTATTTATAAGCAAAAAGGTGATATTTGCAATAATGTTGGAACTTCGTAATATTTTGTCCATACATGATGTGAAGGAAAGGAATGAGGAAAAACGGGAACTTGTTGATGGTATATTTGGAGTTCGCTTAAATAAGGTCCAAATACGGAGTTGTATCTCTGTATATTGGCTAACCCCTGAGCAGAATAGATATGTGACAAACTCAGATGGTTCAGTGGTTAACACAGATGGGGGGGGGGTATGGATTTGCTATTAGAAGACATGATGGAACCTTTTTGTATGGAGAGAGTGGCTATCTCAGAGATGGGGACAGTTTCGGAGCTGAGGTGTATGGGATCTTACTTGGTGCAAGGAAATGCGAACAACTTGATTTAAATCAAGTGGCCATACAAACTAATAATAAAACATTGGCAGACCTTTTGGGGGATTTGAAGATAATTCCTTGGAAATAATTTTTAGAGATCAAGGAGATTCATGAGATTATGAGTCGACGTTCCTACACAATTTTCCACATATACAGAGAAGCGAATGCCGTTGCATATGGCTTAGCTGGACAGGCATCTCTTGGAAACTCAGTCAGTCACATATGCTAATTTGGAGCGACTACCTAGACATATTAGGGGGCTTGCACTTTTGGATCAAATTTCTTTTTCGTATTTACGTACTCGTCTCAAATAGGTATCTTGTATATTGGTAAGTCTTACGCACTACCAAATTTTATTTGGTAAATAATAAAACAGGAGATCTGTGAATTAGGAATAGAATGGTTGCAAATTCATCTTAAAGGTATATCCTCTTCATGTGTTGCTCCATTCTATTACCTAATCTCAGGGCTACCTGATTTTTCTTCTTAAAAAAATAAATTAAAATTAGTATCTTATCTTTCCACATTTTACTTCTATGGTCAAAAAATCAGATCTACCGTCAAATATCGAACTTGAATCTCCCATTTCTTTTCATCCTCCTCGTTCAAAGCTTTGAACTCAACTCCAGATTCCAAACTCAAATCATTGTTTGAAACCTTCATCCATCATCAATAATTTACAATAAACTCATCTACTAGTATGTACCCTATTCTAGAATTTTCTAGTTTCCAACCAGATTTGTATTTTTTATTGATTCGATGAACCTAAGTTGATTTTAGGGCGGGGGTTTAGTTTGCAATTAGTTGGAATCTTACTGGGAAGTTAGATTTTTTGTTTGACTTCTCAAATCAAACTCAAATCAACGTTTTGAGCTAAATCGGATATTGAAAATCCAATTTTT